GAACCGCGGGGCGGGTGCTGGGGGAACCGCCCGGGGCGCTTTCCACTGCCCGGCCCCTTTATGCCCAGAGAGTAAAAACCTTTCTAGGCAGAGCCTGGGTAGGGAAAAATCCCCGCCGGATAAGTCGGGCGTCAGAGGTGCCCGCCTACTCCGGCGTGGACGCGCGGTCGCTGGCGAGCCTGTCGTATATGTGATAGATCGCTGTTGTAAGTCGCACCGGCTGCGGGCAAGGTCGAGCTATTCTGCGGTTGCGCTAGCATCGGCCCTCAACTTGCAGGACTGCTACCCGACAGTCGCTGCCTTGTGCGAACTGAACGCGGGGCCGCTAACACCAGCGCGAGTCAATAACAGACTTGCAATGCGCGGTCAATGCTTATGGTTGCTCTTGCCATTGATGCCGATTATGTGTGTAAGCCGATGCCGAATAAGATTTTGTATTATCCCAGTGCGACCCTACCTAGGCGTTGGAACATTTAGGAAAACAACATCTACATCTACACCGACAGCTACATTAACATCTACACCTGCATCTACATCTACATCAACATCAACAGCGAGACTCACATCTACATCTACATCTACACCTACATTTACACCTACATCTACATCTACATCTACATCTACATCTACATCTACTTCTACATCTACATCTACATCTACATCTACATCTACGTCTACATCTACATCTACATCTACATCTACATCTACATCTACATCTACATCTACATCTACATCTACATCTACATCTACATCTACATCTACATCTACATCTACATCTACATCTACATCTACATCTACATCTACATCTACATCTACATCTACATCTACATCTACATCTACATCTACATCTACATCTACATCTACATCTACATCTACATCTACATCTACATCTACATCTACATCTACATCATCTACATCTACATCTACATCTACATCTACATCTACATCTACATCTACATCTACATCTACATCTACATCTACATCTACATCTACATCTACATCTACATCTACATCTACATCTACATCTACATCTACATCTACATCTACATCTACATCTACATCTACATCTACATCTACATCTACATCTACATCTACATCTACATCTACATCTACATCTACATCTACATCTACATCTACATCTACATCTACATCTACATCTACATCTACATACATCTACATCTACATCTACATCTACATCTACATCTACATCTACATCTACATCTACATCTACATCTACATCTACATCTACATCTACATCTACATCTACATCTACATCTACATCTACATCTACATCTACATCTACATCTACATCTACATCTACATCTACATCTACATCTACATCTACATCTACATCTACATCTACATCTACATCTACATCTACATCTACATCTACATCTACATCTACATCTACATCTACATCTACATCTACATCTACATCTACATCTACATCTACATCTACATCTACATCTACATCTACATCTACATCTACATCTACATCTACATCTACATCTACATCTACATCTACATCTACATCTACATCTACATCTGCATCTGCATCTGCATCTGCATCTACATCTACATCTACATCTACATCTACAGCTACATCTACATCTACATCTACATCTACATCTACATCTACATCAACATCTACATCTACATCTACATCGACATCTACATCTACATCTACATCTTAATCTACATCTACATCTATATCTACATCTACACCTACACCTACACCTACACCTACACCGACATCCACATCTACACCTACACCTGCATCTACATCTACATATACACTTTCGCATTGGTGTTGCTTTTGCTTTGCATGGCCTTGCCTTTGCTTCTGTTGTTGCTTTTGCTGTTGCGTTTGCTTTTCCTTTGATTTGCTTTCGCTTTTGCTTGATGTTGTGTTTGCTTTGCCTGCGCACAGACACACACACCTATAATGCCCTATGGTGCGCTTTGCTGCGCTATGCTGCGCTATGCTATGCTATGCTATGCTGGGGTGCGCTCGGCTGCACTGTGTTATGCTAGGCTATATGATGCCATGATATGTTGCGCTATGCTATGTTATGCTATGATATGCTGGGCTATGCTATGATATGCGATGCTTTGCTGCGCTATGCTATGCGATGCTATGCTATATTATGTTGCGCTACGCTATGCTATGATATGCTATGGTATGCTATGATGTGCTATGCTATGAAATGCTGCGCTGTGCTATGCTACAGAATGTTAAGCAATGCTGTGCTATGATATACTGTGCTATGCTTCGCTATGCTTTGCCATACTATGTTATGCTGTGCTTTGCTATGGTGAGCTATGCGATGCTATGCCATGCGATGCTTGGCTATACTACGTTATGATATGCTGTGCTAATGCTGCGCTGCGCGATGCTGCGCTAAGCTGCGCTGCGCTAAGCTAAGCTAAGCTAAGCTAAGCTAGGCTAGGCTCGGCTAAGCTAAGCTAAGCTAAGCTAAGCCAAGCTAAGCTGAGCGAAGCTAAGCTAAGCTAAGCTACGCTAAGCTAAGCTAAACTAAGCTACGCTAGGCTAGGTTAGGCTAAAGCTAAGCTAAGCTAAGCTCAGCTAAGTTAGTCCAGGCTAGGCCAAAATGAGAAAAGCAAAGCTAATCTAAGGGGGCGTAACCGGGGGTACCGCGGGGCGGATACAGGGGGAACCGCCCGGGGCGCTTTCCACTGCCCGGCCCTTTTAAACCCATAGAGTAAAAACGCTTCTAGGCAGAGCCTAGGTAGGGAACAAAAACCATATGAATGCACACCCTTCGTTCATGTTAGCTGGATTGGACAGATGATGGATAGATGCAGTATACATTATCCCAGAGCGACCCGACCTAAGAGTTGGAGCCCCGAGGAAAACACTATTAATAGTAACGGTCAACGCCGTCCTCCGCCTTCTCTTCATCGTCGCAGTTGTAGCAGTAGCGGTAGTAGTAGTAGTAGTAGTAGTAGTAGTAGTAGTAGTAGTAGTAGCCGTAGTAGTAGTAGTAGTAGTAGTAGTAGTAGTAGTAGTAGTAGTAGTAGTAGTAGTAGTAGTAGTAGTAGTAGTAGTAGTAGTAGTAGTAGTAGTAGTAGTAGTAGTAGTAGTAGTAGTAGTAGTAGTAGTAGTAGTAGTAGTAGTAGTAGTAGTAGTAGTAGTAGTAGTAGTAGTAGTAGTAGTAGTAGTAGTAGTAGTAGTAGTAGTAGTAGTAGTAGTAGTAGTAGTAGTAGTAGTAGTAGTAGTAGTAGTGGTAGTGGTAGTAGTAGTAGTAGTAGTAGTAGTAGTAGTAGTAGTAGTAGTAGTAGTAGTAATGGTACAGCTTGTTACCTACATCTACATCTAGACCTACATCCACTTCTACACCTACAGCTACAGCTACATGTACACATGCATCTACATATACATCTACATATACAGCTACACTCACATCTACATCTACATCTACACCTACATCTACACCTACATGCATATCTACATCTACATCTTCACCTACATCCACATATACACATACACCTACATCTATGATATGCTATGCTATGCAATGCTATGCTATGCTGCGCTATGCTATGCTATGTTATGCTATGCTATGCTATGCTGCGCTATGCTATGCTATGCTATGTTGTGCTATGCTGCGCTGTGCTATGCTAAGCTAAGCTATGCTATGCTATGTTGCGCTGTGCTATGCTATGCTATGCTATGCTATGCTTTGCTGTGCTATGGTATGGTATGCTATGCTATGCTATGCTATGCTATGCTGCGCTATGCTATGCTGCGCTATGCTATGATATGATATGATATGCTGTGCTATGCTATGCGATGCTATGCTAATGCTGCGCTTAAGCTAAGCTAAGCTGAGCGAAGCTAAGCTTAGCTAAGCTAAGCCAGGTTAGGTTAAGCTAAGCTAAGCTAGGCTAGGGTAGGTTAAGCTAAGCTAAGATAAGCTAAGCTAAGTTAAGCTAGGCTAAGCTAAGATGAGATAAGCAAAGCTAAGCTAAGGGGACGTAGCTGGGGGAACCGCGGGGCGGATACTGGGGGAACCGCCCAGGGCGCTTTCCACTGCCCGGCCCCTTTAAGCCCAGAGAGTAAGAACCCTTCTAGGCAGAGCCTAGGTAGGGAACAGCACTCAATGGTGCGACACACGAGATAACACTGCCGAGTGTCATACTAAAGGTCTCATAGAACGGGACCTGCTACTACAGGTAATGACGGGTGCGCAATCCTTCAAACACGAGCTGAAGACGATCGCGGCTTACAGGTCTCCGACCTCGAAGCTTGAGCCCGGCTCGTGATGGGCCGGCTCAGTTCATTATGTATTGCGAGGGATACGCCATAAGGACAAGCCTGTATGTCTGTCCGCCCTTATTTTGTCGTCTTCACTGCTCTGTCTTTTGGGACTGGTCTAACAAGACTCCGCATGCCCTGTCTGATATGTGTATATATGTGTATATCTCTCTATATATATATACATATTACTTTCCAGACCCGTCGCTGGCATGTGGCCAGGTCGGGATCTGCCGCCTCTTTGCAGACCGAGCCTGGCGTTGGCCACGCTGGGTACGGCTCGTCTGGACACGAGCCCTTCGCCATGTGCACTCTTCCCGCAGTCGAACGAAGCGTGATGCACGCTTGCGCTCGTCTCCTCCCCACGTGACTCTGAAACAGATCAGAGGGCTGGGATATAAATATAGCGAGCGTAGCGAGCATCCCGTTGGCATCTGGCTCTAGGCGCCGGGGTCTATTATGTTTGGGCCACTAGGGTTACCTTCGGTCCATTATCGCATCAGAAGCAGGAGCCGATCAAACTTCTAGAAGTGGTGCCATCCTACTTCTTACATCCAACCTATCATCCCATGGACTTCATCCTGTTGTTGTTCTCCTCCCTCTTCGCTCCTCCCTCCTTCTATCTGCCTCCCTTCTTCCCTCCATCCTTCCTCCGCTTTCTCTTCCCCCTCTCCCACCTCGTGCTCCAACCAAGTGTCTTCAGTCCTCCTCTGCTGTCCAGGAGGGCCTCGCCTACGAGGCGATTGTCGCCGCGATGAATAGCGACGGGTGGGGCGCAGCCTCGGACGTAAGCTTGCCGGTCACCATTGGCGTTCCGAAGATCAGGGATAGTGGCTGACTGAAACTCCTTGGGAGACTTCGGCGGGGTGCCGTGGTATCCCTTTCCCCCTTCCCGTGCCCAGTATCTTTTGCCCGCTCATTGGCGCATTCCCGTTCCCACTTCCCCTCCCCGCCCCCCCTCTGCCCCACCCCATCCCTCATTCCTCACCTCCCACTCCAACTCCAGCTCCCGATCCCGCCCCACTCCCCGCTCCCACCCGCGCCTTCCTTTGTCGTCTCCTTCCCCCTCTTGTCCCCCCCGCCCCTGTCCTCCCCTCACTTCCCCTCCTTCTCTCGGGCTTGGAGCCGGCCGAGGAGAAGCCGCCAGCGCCAGGGCCGCCAAAGCTGGTAGCGCTGGACAAGGGTAGGTTCAAGGTGTCGTGGAGCATACCGCAGGCGTGTCCGCCGGTTGAGGCTTCGCAGGTGCAGCTCGCCGACCTGGGGACGGGCAAGAAGTGGCTCGTCGAGGCCGCCACGGGCCGGCTGGTGGCGTCGGGCAAGACAACCTTCACCGCGACCCGCCTGGAAGCCACCGTCAGCAATGCCGAAGACGGTGTTGAGTACGTCGCGGCGGTCTGCTGTCGAAACGCGGAGGGCTTTGGGGAGTACTCCATTGACAGCGACTCGGCCATGAACGCCGCGAACAGGACGGGGCCAATGAACACGGCTCGCGCGGTGAAGTTGCTGCTCCCCCTCCCCTCTCATTTTCCCTTGTGGAGGACGTCCAAGTTTCTCCCATTTCTTCTTCTTCCTCCTCCTCCTCCTCGTTTCCTTTTTTCCTGCTCCTTCCCACTCTTCTTGGCGGCTCCCGTTTTTGAAAACGACCCCGCAGGCCTAGGTGAAGGAACACCGCGGCGATCGAGAAATCACATCGTCGGAGATCTGCGTGCCCTGCACCCCCCCCCCGTCGCGCAGAAGACTTCCCCGCTCCGCGCAAAAAGGAGCGGCAGCGGCATGGAGCTCGTGCTGGCCGTCGGCGCGCCCACCTCGGAGGTGCCGGCCCTGAAGCCGCTCGGCGAGGGGAGGATGCAGGTCAAGTGGGTCCTGCCGGAGGAAGCCAAGGCCCCCCCCCGCGCGCGCGGGGGCCCCACGGGAGGCGTTCCACGAGGGGCCTCGCTCTCGGCGCGCCCCTCCCTTCGGGCGGAGGGTGGCGGAAGGTCGGCGGGAGGGGGGAGCCGCCCTGCGGTGCCACCCCGCAGAGGCAGGGGCTGCGCAGGCGCGGGGGCCGAGGCACAGCTGCCTCCTCCGTCGCGTGCCTGCCCTCCCCCCTTGGGGCACCATCCGTCCTTTTCGGTTGCGCCGCAGTCTAGCGGCAGTTTTTGGTTGCCCCCGCGAAGCTTCCTTGGGAATGGGCGTAGCGTCCAAAAGGAAGGCCGGCGGAATTGGAACGGCGGTGGGTCCGCCTGCAGAAGCTGGCCGGCGGTCGGCGGACAACAGCGGAAGTAAAAGTGACTCGTCGATATTTCTGGGTTCAGTGTTTCCAGAGTCGGCCAACAGGGGGGAAGGTTTGAAGAGGTCTTTCGCCGAGTCCGTCCTCTGGAAAACCACTTCGGATCACAAGGATGATGACCACTACAAGGAGGCGGACAAAAGCAGGATGAGGAGGAGGACGAGGATGATCAGAGGAAATCGCTGGACACTTCGATCAGAGGAAACGCTGTTCTGAGTGGTGGCTGACGCATGCGGGCGGTGCCAGTGGGACCTTTGGTGGAGCTCCCTGTGGGGCCACGAAGCGCTGTACTGTGTGGTGGCTGACGCATGCGGGCGGTGCCACTCAGGCCTTCGGTGGAGCCCCCTATAGGGCCACGAAACGCTGTGCTGGGTGGTGGTTCACGCATGCGGGCGGTGCCACTGGGACCTTCGGTGAAGCTCCCTATGGGCCCACGAAGCGCTGTACTGGGTGGTGGCTGTCGCATGCGGGCGGTGCCACTGAGGCCTTCGGTGGAGCTCCCTATGGGGCCACGAAGCCCTGCGCTGTGCTGGGCGGTGGCTGACGCATGCGGGCGGTGCCATTGGGTCCTTCGGTGGAGCTCCCTACGGGGCCGCGAAGCGCTGTGCTGGGTGGTGGCTGACGCACGCGGGCGGTGCCACTGGGGCCTTCGGTGGAGTCCCTCTCTGGGGCCGCGAAGCGCTGTGCTGGGTGGTGGCTGACGCATGCGGGCGGTGCCACTGAGGCCTTCGGTGGAGCCCCCTTTATGGGGCCGCGAAGCGCTGTGCTGGGTGGTGGCTGACGCATGCGGGCGGTCCCACTGGGGGCTTCGGTGGAATTCCCTGTGTGGCCAGGAAGCGTTGTACTAGGTGGGTGAAACGCAGGGAGGAGGAAGGAGGGGGAGGAGGGAGGAGGCGGGAGGAGGAGGAGGAGGAGGAGGAGGAGGAGGAGGAGGAGGAGGAGGAGGAGGAGAACGCGGGGACCGGCTATTCAAAACGAGGACCCAACACCACAGGATGGGGTTGGGAAAAAACTTGGCTTTGGGAGCGCGGACGCAGCGTAATTTACGAGGGATCATGGATCTGGGGGGGCGGACACAGCGTATTTGATTTGGGATCCTTTCCCTGGGGACGCGGACGCAGAGCAATTGACGAGGGACCGTTGCCCTGGGAGCGCGAATACAGTGTAATTTTCGAGGGACCGTGGCCTTGAGAGCGTGACTCCCGCGTAATTTACGAGAGATCGCGGCCCTGGGAGCGCGGACGCAATGTGATTTACAATAGATCGTTGTCTTGGGAGCGCGGACGCAGCGTAGTTTACGAGCGATCGTAGCCCAGGGGGAGTGGACGCAGCGTAATTTATGATAGATCGTGGCCTTTGGAGTGCGGTCCCGTTGTAATGGCTTCGTTCATGGGTCCGCCGTGCGTTGCCCTTTTCTGATTCCGCGGGGGGGCGGGCGGGGGGGAGACAAGCCTTGCTTTTTAGATTCGAAAAAAGGGGCTTGCCTGGGAGTGCGGTCCCGTGCCACGTCCAGTGGCACGTTCGCTGACGCGTTCCTTGGCACGTCCCCCTGGCGCGTCGCCTGGCACGTTTCCTCGCACGTTCCGTGGCGCGTCTCGTGGCGTCCCCCTGGCACGTCGTGCGGCGCGTCCCTTGGCACGTCCATTGGCACGTTCCGTAGCGCGTCCCATTGGCACGTCCCGCGGTGCGTCCCCATGGCATGTCCCCTGCCACGTCCGTTGGCACATCCCTTGGGACGTTCCGCGGCGCGTCCCCCTGGCATGCCCCCCTGGCATCGCCCAGTTGCATATGCAATTAGGGTCCTTCGAAACGGTTCCATGCAGCGCAGTTCTCAATCCCTTTCCGGGCTCGTAGCTCGATCAAGTTGGTTAACCCCCTGGCCCCGACTTGCGTAGGGGCAGCGAATGTATTCTGGAACAAATAACGAGGTCGCGTGGGCTTGTTTTCACGTGTCCAGGTCGCCCAGGCGGATGTTGTTGAGCGAAACGGTTGTCGTCGCGTGTCCAACTCGCCCAGGCGGATGTCTGGCATGAGGATTTGTTGGGGATGCCTCGAGCGAGACGCTTGGTTTCACGCGTCCAGGTTGCCCGCGCAGATATCTAGCATGAGGAGGTGTTGAGAACGTTTCGAACGAGACGCTTGGTTTCACGTGTCCAGGTCGCCCAGGCAGATGTCTAGCATGAGGATGTGTTGAGGATGTCTCGAGCGAGACGCATGTTTTCACGTCCCAGGTCGCCCAGGCGGTTGTTTAACATGAGGTCTTGTTGAGGATGTCTCGAGCGAAACGCTTGTTGCAGTACCGCCCGTCCGTGGGGCGTCCCCCGGCGCGCTGGCGCGACCCCTGGCGCGTTCCTTGCGACGTTTGGCTTGACGCGCCTTGGCACGTCCCCTGGCACGCCACTCGGTGTGGCACGTTCCCTGGCTCATCCTCTGTCGCGCTTCCTGGCTCGTCCCCAGGCGTTTCCCCTGCCCGTTCCGTGGCGCGCCACTTGCAACGTCCCTTGGCATGACGTCCTCTTGCCGCCCCATGGCACACGCCTTGGCACGTCCCGTGGCAGGTCCCTGACACGTCCAGGGCACGTCCCCTGATAGGTCCCCTGACACGTCCCCCGGCGCATCCCTTATCGTGCCCCTGGCACATCATGTGGCGCGTCCGTGAGCTTGTGGCCCTTGTCGTGTCGTTCCTTTTCGGAGCCGAGTTTGATGACGGGAAGCGTCTTCGAGGAACGAGAAGCGAGCTGGACGTTTTGGCTGAATCTTCCTCATATCAGTAAGAGATCTCTTAACTATAGGGGGTGGCGGGGCGCACGGTATACAGGCTTAGCGGATTCCTCGGGATGGCGATTTTGCGTGAGACATCCTCACAAAATTGAAATCTTCGCGACATCGCGTTTAACAAAAACAAGCGTTTCGCTCGAGACATCCTCGACAAGCTGATGACTGCGAAATTTCGCCGTCTGTGAAAATTTGCGTTTCGCTTGGGACATCCTCGGAAAAATGAAATGACGACTGAAGTCTTCAACTAACTCTTATGTTAAGAATTGCGATTTCGCTCGGGACATCCTCAAAAAACGAGCGGCAGCACGGCGGACCAGAACGAAGAGCACGGCAGACAATTTGCATTTCGCTAGGGACATCCTCAACAAAATGAGATGTCCTCAACGTCGTCTTGATATCGTTCTCGAAGTACCTCAAGATGACGAAATGAGAGGCCAAAAAGCACGACAAGATGGCTGTCAGAACGATTGGGGGACTTCCGAAAATAGCGATTTCGCTAGGGACATCCTCAAAAAGTGAAAACATACACCAGCATCTACTTGAAAACTGTTGTTCTTACATAGTTTTGACTTTGCTTCTGAAAAGGCTTCCAGACGGTCCAAGGCAGCCTTCAAAACATGCCGATTTCGGTAGGGACATCCTCAAAAAAATGATGCGTGCGACATCGCATCGTGATGATTTTAGGAGGGCATCAGGAAGCAAAAGAAGGCCACAACATGACTCCAAGAGCGCCCTTAAGGTTGCTGAAAATAGTGATTTCGCTAGGGACATCTTCAAACAAATAACAAATCGAACAACATCGTTTTGAAAACTGCTGTTTTAACATCGTCTGGGGATCGCTCCTGAAAAGGCTTCTAGATGGTTGAAGCCAGTCATCTAAAAATGACGATTTCGCTAGGGACATCCTGAAACAATGAATGTGTGTAACATCGAACTGTAACGGTTTTGCAAGGCATCAAGAATGCCCCCAAAGGCCCCAAACAAGCCCAAATGTGACCCCCAGGAGCGCCCTCGAGACGATCCAAAATGGCGATTTCGCCTGAGACATCCTTACAACAATGAAATGTTCACAACGTCGATTTCATCAAAAACCAGCGTTTCGCCTGAGACATGCCTTAAACATGGGAAGCCGCGAATTCGACAGATGTTCAAAAACGGGTGTCTCGCCTGAGACATGTTAACAACAATGATATCTTGGAGTGGCGTTTTTACTACCTCTCGTGTTAAAAATCGCGCTCTCGCTGCATACATCCTCAAAACAATCGGGCGGAGCATGGCCGGCGAAAAAAGAGCAAGGCAGAGAATGAGCAGTTCTGCCGTGCTCCTTCGCTCTTGACGTCTATTCTGCCGTGCTCTTTCGTTCCTGGGGTCTATTCTGAAATGCTCCTTGTTTTTTTTGTGCCGTGATCCTTCGCTCTTCGGGCCTATTCCGCCATGCTCCTGGCCATTTTCTGTAACAATCCTTTGTTCTTGGGGCTTATGATGCCGTGCTCCTGGTCGTTTTCTGCCGTGCTCCTTAGCTCTTGGGGCATATTCTGCCGTGCTCCTTCGATTTCGGGGTTTATTCTGCCGTGCTCCTTGTCTTTTTCTTGCATACTCCTTCCTTGGGGCGTATTATGCCGTATTCTTGCATCTATCTTGCCGTGCTCCTTAGCTCTTGCGGTCTATTCTGCTATGCTCCTGGTCACTGGTCGCGTTTTGCAGTGTTCCTTCTTTCCTGGCGCCTATTCTGCCGTGCTCCTCAGCTCTTGGGGTCTATTATGTCGTGCTCCTGTTCTTTTTCCTATCATGCTCCTTCGCTCCTGGGGCCTCGTTTGCCGTGTTCCTTCGGTCTTG